TAATGAAGGGATTGTTTGGATCGATTGCGGTGGGCTGGCCAATTCCTCTTGTTCACTTTCTTCGGAGTCCCTACTGGTATCATGCACTATGGAGTTTGGGATAAACAGTAAGATATATATACATCCAGGAACGTGTGATTAATTCCCATACTAGCGTCTTTACATCACCCAATTTACCGGCCCGTGCCTATCCAGAAGGGTTTCAGGGGAATAAAATCCCACTGGACGCCGACGCTGTAATTAGACTTGTAGAACATCGCTTGGGTATGGAAGAAGAGGATTTTGACGATTAATAACTTCATTGTAATGTGTTAAATTATTAAAATATTATTTGTTGTATACGGTAGGGTCGCATATTTGGTCCCGTGATCAAGGGTTTAAACTCCGCCAACGCGTTCTTGTCTCCCGACCTACCATTAGTTTAGCGATACCACACCGATCTCACCTACAGCTCTTTACTTCAACATTTTTCACGATACATTGAACATTACTGCATGCAATCTACTCCAAGACCAACGCCCAGCTCTAGTGCTGGCCTCAACACGCATGGCCACTCAAATTCATCAAGCTCGCTGTCGTCATCCGGCTCGACCACTCCGCCTCTCAAATTAGCGAAATTAACAACTGCTTACGCGTCTTCATCTTCTCTTGTAGGTGGAGTGAAAGGAGGAGTGCCCCCACCTCTCGTACGCCGGTCTTCCGCGAGCTTCAACCACGTCCGTACAAACTCCCTCGTCTCGTCTTCGCCCTTTAAAACGGGTGGAGACACGTCCTCTACTCTTGCTGCACGAACAGCTAAAGCCCAGCGATCCCCGCCACCTTCTCAACATGATGCCGCCCGCGGTGTCATTCGACGTGCCCCGGGCGACGATCACCCCGTATTCTCTCAAATACACTCCAGAGCCAAATCAGATGAGAATTCTGCCCCAGACAGTGCTCGAAGGCCTCGCCAGAGTAAGGGTTTCTCGACTTTGTCAAAGGCTGAAGTTGTCACTAAGAGCCCTTTTCTTGAAGGCAATGGTGTCTCTCCTGCGACAAGAGCGGCCTACTCTAGGTCTGTAGACCTCACAAACTATAATCTAGACCATTTGGCCGCTGAAAGAATCCCTAAATCCTCCACCTACCCTTCAGTGTCTCTGGACAAGTTGCCTGCTTTGGAGGCTGCCAATAATCCCCCCCACTTGGCGCCGGATAGCATCACGTGAAATACGAGGGAATCGTTCTGGGGACCGAGACTCTGAAAGGCGGAGGGAAGTTTCTACGTCGGGTTCAGTTTTCAGTCTGGAAGTGAAAGAGTCTTCGTGTGTCGAAACCGAATCATCGCGGAACGAGTTCATATTGGTCAAGAAGGATTGCATTTCGGAAATGCCATTGCTATTTGGGTGAGAAATCACGTCTTGTTCTGGGTTTATTCGATGAGCTATCTCTTTCCATCGACATAGGCACTGAACAAGATACGTACCATCTGAATTGTGCGAATAATTTTCATCTGGAAGATCGATATCGTGCCTTTGTGGAGTTGGCATCTCATCTTCGGTGATCATACTGGAAATGGACATTTTCTCGCCGTCCATGTCATCCGCAAGTTCGTTGATAGAACCACTGAGAATAGGAGAAGGGGTGCCACCACTATCTCTATCAGGACCATAGTATTCTCTTATTTCGGTAGAGTCGGGTAATGAAGGGATTGTTTGGATCGATTGCGGTGGGCTGGCCAATTCCTCTTGTTCACTTTCTTCGGAGTCCCTACTGG